TCTTGCCTTGTTCTGACATTTAAGAAGTGATCTTGGGTGTAAAAAGGTTGGAGAGCACTGATTTAGATGGTGCTTGGTCCTGCTGTGAGGGCAGGGGACTGGACTCGATGACCTCTCAAAGTCTTTTCCAGTTCTGTGATTCTATGATTAGCTATTAAGGAACTGCCTTCCCATAGGGTATTTCTAAACTACATCCCTTTTTCAATAAAGGGATGTAAATTAGACATACTGAAATTGTAAATAAAGTTGGGATTTGAATTTTCCATGCTTCATTTGCATAATGGCTGCCGCAGGTTTTTATTTTTTCCCCAAAAAAACCGTGGTCAAACCTCATTTTTGGTTACAGGTTCTTTCGAAATGGAGAATTTCTGTCAAAAGATCCCCATCTTGACTGTGTGTTTTTTCCGAAAAACTGCTTTTCGAAAAAAAGCTTCAGCCGCCATTATACAAATGAAACACAGAAAATTTAAATCCCAGCTTCATTTACAATTTCGATATGTCTAATTTACATCCCTTTATCGAAAAAGGGATGTAGTTTAGACTTATTCATAGAGAGCAGTATGACTAAATTGCAATAAAGGACAATGCCTGGTCTGGGTCAGGTGATGAGCTTGCAGGGGTCAGGCTGTAGGACTACAAAATTGTTGTGCAAACATTAGGAATGTAAAAGGTTAAATGGTTCTGATTAACCGTTAGGGGTTGGAACATATATAAAGCCTATTTCAATTTTCTCCTGTAGATCCTGCAACATGTAACCACTCTAATTTTAGTGGTTATATGGTTACATTTTTAACCGCATTTTTACATCCCTAGTAAACTTTTGGACCTAGACTCTGAGACCCAAGAGGTCTCAAAGCCTGGTCCCAGACCCAGATGTCTGTACTGTACTTTTACAGCCCTTGAGCCCCACCCTGAGTCACCTGAGCAAGGCCAGACATGGCTGTGTCTTGCATCTTTTATCAGCATGGATATAAGTTTTCTGTCAACTGAAACATGTTAAAACTGCAACTTGCCTTCTCTGTATTAATGCACGTGTTTTTAAAATCCATCTCTTCTTCCTAGTGTAGATATGACCTCTTCATTCAGCTAAACTGCCTCTCTGGGGACAGGAGTGTGCTTTATAAAGTAGCTTTTACTCCACATCTCATTTTAGCACACAACTCCTGACTCAACTATAAAATATCGATTCTATCACCATTGCCCTATTATTCTGCTCTTACAGCTTTCTTCTCCATTGAATTTTTATTTTCTTCCCCCTGTGCTACACATCAGATGGAAGCATCTGATTTCTCTTTGCCAAGAAACTTTACTATGAGTTCAAGGACAATGTGAGCAAGAAATTTTAATAGCAAGCTGTGTATCTCTTTCTCTAGTTTTATATGAAATCCAATAAACACAGTAATGGAAATGGATTAAAAATTCTGTTTTACAAAATCCTTCTTGGCTTTTGTTTTTAATCTGGCATAAAAAATCCAGTTGAGTGTAAACTCATGAATAAATTGCAATGTTCCTGCTGGGATGATGGCATGAAGACAGAATTTAATTTAAAAAATAGAAATTTTTCTCTTCAGCAATAGAAATTTTTGAATAACTTCTTTGTGATTTCCCATGATGACTATTTAATCGCTAATTACCAGAAATCATCAGGACTGCAAAGGCAAACTTTCTTTTCAACAATTATACTTATGCCAGTATATTCATTTACAACTTGAAAGGGTTGTGAAATAATTAATTCTTCTTCAAGGAGTGTCCCAGTGGGTGCTCTCCCTTAGGTATATGGGGTGCCACTGTACCTCTAGTTGGAGAATTTAGCAGTGCCTTGGTAAGCTATGCACATGGAGCAGCTGGCATGCACCGCTGTGGTTATTCTCCACATATAGCTAACCGTCCCTTCAGTGCCTTCTCTGCGGCAACTGCTTCAGTCGGAATCAATAGCTGCCCTCCTGATATTTTTCAAATTTGTTAGATTAGAGTTAGTCTTGTTGTTAAACTAATCTAGTTAACAGTCTAACTCTTATATTTTTTTAAAAAAGTAGTTTTGGGCGTCTTCCCCTTTGGCTGTTTTTCTTCCTGTGATGCTTGGTTCTCCAGGTTTGAAACTGCCTATCCTGTCATATAGGGGCAGCAAGAGGAGGGAGAAAAGGGAGTATTTCAAAGCGGCAGCTCCTCACTGAGCCCAGGGTTAGCTTGGGACACCCCAGCTGACCCCAGACTGTACCTGGAATTTCAAAGCTGGCATGCCACTGGGAGCCCAGGATCTCCCCAGCTAACCCTGAGCTCAGTGCAGCACTGCCACTTTGAAATGCTGCGTGGAACCCAGGATCAGCTGGGGACTCTTGTGCATTTCAAAGAGGAAGTGAAACATGGATCCTGGGGCCAGCGAGACTTCCCAGTAGCCCTGGACTCCATGTGGCATTCCAACTTCAAAATTCATAAGAGCTCCCACTGGGGCTCTTGTATATTTCAAAGGTGGAACATGGAAGTGGCTATCAGCTAGTTGATGGAAATTCCATTGACTACTCTACTAGTAAATTAATTGCTAGTTAACATCCCTACTCTCTGCTTAAAAGCCAGTTCCCCATGAGCACCGAATCCACCTGCCACCGCGCTCCCCACGCTGCTGCCTCTGATAAAGAGAGAGCAGCGCAGAGGGTGAGGGGGATAGGCAGGATACTGAAACGAGCTTTCAAGTAGGCTCCATGCACATGCTCGATCCGTGGATCCGCCTTCCTCTCCCCTCCCCCCTCACACTTTCTCCTACAGAGATGGGAGGATCAGGCAGGAGCTGGTGCTGGGAGGAGCTGGCTTAAAAGCCAGTTCCTCCCCAGCATCATCTTGAGGCGAGGTCCCATCTGTGGGGGCTCTGAACTCTCTATGGACAGGCGCTGCAGCCATGGAGTAGCCTCTCTCCATATGGAGCTCGGACCCTCCACAGACACATCAGAGGCATCAGCGCAGGGTGGCAGGCAGCTGGTGTGCGGGGGGAGCTGGTTTTTAAACTGGCTCCCCTCACGGACCAGCTCCCGCCTGCCACCCCATGCTGCTGTCTCTGATAGAGAGGCAGCAGTGCAGGGTGGCAGCGGGCTCTCCAGGGTTGGGGCTGGAGCACACTGGCTGTTGGCCCTGCCTCTGGAGACTATTGAATATTTGTGTAACCACTTAAGATTTCATGTGGTTACATGACTATACAATTACATAATATCTTAATATACCTAGGCTGCATATATATTTTTATAATGACCTTTTTTGGTATAACAGTAGGATTTATAACATTTTCCCTATAGTTTTGAAATGAAGAACATTTTACGTCTGCCTTTAACTTGGAGAGTACAATAAGCTGGCTGAAAACATATGTATCATCATCTGAGTAGTTCTTAATGATTCATGGGAATATGAATTGCTTAAACTAGTGTGAAATTCTGAAGACATTGGATATGCCAATATGTGCTACTTATACCACCTGTTCTCAAACTTCACAACCTGCTGTACCATATCTAACAATGACCTGTAATGGCCATACCACCGTAATAACTTCAATTAGTTGCAGTCCATGTGCCACTAGTACTGTTTGTATAACCATCTGAGAAATATTTATGTAGATTAACCATGTATTTTTAAAGTGGGAAAGCATCACTAAGATAATGTGCCTGCATGATACAGAATTTCATTCAGTTCCTGCAGTGGAGGCAATTACTTAGTCATGAAATGTATTGCTCTTAGTCATTCCTATTAAGGATAATTAGAAAATGCTGTCTAGCTGAAATGACAGGTGGTGTTTATACTCACAGATTATATGGTAGTTATTGGTGATAAAATTTCCTTTGGATGTTATGATCAATGTTTTATTCTTGGTAAGTGTTTTTGGATCTGTAATGATTGCATGGACTTCAGTTTCCCATCTCGCAGATTAATAGAGTCCAAGGCCAGAAGGGGCACTGTGATCATCTATCGTGACTTGTATAATGAAGGCCATAGAACTTCACCAATATAGTTAGTTCCTTTTGAGTCTAAAGCATCTTTCTTAAAAAGGAAAAAAAAAGGAAATGGCCAGTGATGGAAAAACCATCATGAGCCTTGTTAAATTGTTACAATGGTTAATTTACCCTTACTGTCTTATTCCAGTCTGAATTTGTCTCGCTTCAGAATCCATCTTTGCATCTTGATACACGCTTGTCTGAGATATCAAAGAGCCCGTTATCAAATGTTTGCTCCCTGTGTAATTACCTGCAAACTAGAGATGTTAGATATTATGTAATTGAATAATTTATGTAACCGCATCAAAATTTAGTGGTTACATAACTATTCGATAGTCCCCCGGGGGCACGGCCAGCAGCCAGTTGCGCTCCCAGCCTCACTCCTAGGGAGTCCCTTGTCACCCCGTACTACTGCCTCTGTATCCGAGGCAGCAGCATGGAGTGGCAGGCAGGAGCTGGCCTGCCAGGAGAGCCAATTTAGAAAGCCCAAGCTCCCTGGAGACAGGCTACTCAGGCATCTCACTGAGTAGCCTCCTCTGCCACCTCACCTCCCCCCACCACACGCACACATGCTGCTGCCTCTACCCAGAGGCAGCAATGTGGGGGAGAGGTGGAGCTGGTGCTCGGGGGTGAGGAGCCAACTTTTAAGCTAGCTCCCCACTGACACCGGTTCCCGCCTCTCCCGCTCCTTGCTGCCTCTGCCTCTTAATCCTGACAGGATTAACCAATAAGCCTAGTTTTATGAATTAATCATATTGTTCACTACATGTTGACATCCCTATTGCAGACTAATTACACCTTAACCTTTTGTTTAAAATAAACAGATGGCGCTCCTAGAGTCTATTACACTTAAAGTATATTTTCTAATCCTTTAATCATTCTCATGGCTCTTTTCGGAACCCTTCCAATTTATTAAAAAACAAAAATTACTGTTCTTTGGTAATCCAAGTGGTGGTCCAGATTTACTGCGCTTAAGCTATTGGCCATTCATATTTATTTTTAATTAATTTACCATTTTCTTTGTAGAGAAAACGAGTGTGGGATGCTGAATGTACATCTTTTCCAGATGAGACACCTCTAGGGTTGAGAAAAGCAAATGTTGGGACAGCAGTGGCTACTTCTTCCATTTCCAGTGCATGGATTAGATGTGGTGATGGATTTGAGAGCACTTCCGTGCCTGAGGTAAAATCCTGGTTTCCTAAAGAGTCAAACTGATGATCATAAGGCTTTTCCCCTTGTGATGGATAGGAAGCGTGCTGGCCAGCACCCGGTGACTAAAGTGTTAAACTCAGGTGGCTAGCAGGGGTGTGGGCAGAAAGGAATGCCAATGGGAAAGACTACTGAAATTTGACTTGTATTTGACTAGCTGCTTCTTCCTTTTTGTGTGTTCTGAGTTAAAGGCTGGAGGGAGCTATATGCCGTAATCAGGACTACCGTGCCTCCAAGGAATTTGGGGCATGGAAGTGGACTGGGCCATGATGGGAGTACGAGTAAAAAAGGGTAAAATGTATATTTAGTCGCGATCAGGGTATTTTTCTTTGTTTTTGTTGTTTGATTAAACTTCTCTGTATGATTTCCATGTGCCTTCCTTCCCCCACTGACCATATTTAAGCTACTGCCCAAAAAGATTGTTTCTTTGTGTTTTGATCTGTTCTTTTCTCAGCTGTCCTGTAACACCTAGCAACCAAGTATACTTTATCAAGTATTTGTTAATAGAATTACCTTTGTTAAGGCAGTGATTTTATTTTTGTGTCCTGGAAGATAACAGGGGGTCTCTGTGTGTCTGCCTCGCAGAGCTTGGGGTACCCCGGGGAAGAAATTTAAGTATTTCTTCCTGTTTTTTCAGGGTTTAAATCACTTGATGGTGGCAGCCTACTTTCCAGAGTCAGTGCATCTGTGACTCTGGGGAGGTGTGGTGTGTGTGTGTGTGTTTGGTTTTTTTTGCGGTGGGGTAAGCAGAGCCTATAGAGGCAATGTATTTAAGGTCTTTTGTGGGCCTCCACCTTCTGCACTCGGAGTGCCAGAGTGGGGAAACAGCCCTGACACCCCCTTACGTTAGCTTTCTGTGCACAATCCAAAAATAACAAACCTACTGTTTATAACATACATACTGTTTATAGAATAAGATCCATCTCCCAAAATTTCCATCAGTTGAAATATTCATTTGTTACCTGTTTTCCATCTTTTCTTGCCCCGTTTGCTTATATTGTCAATTGTCTTCCTCCTTTTGGAACTCCACATAAAAGCTGTGTCCATAGCATATTGTTCTGTTGACAAAGTAGGCAGAAATGAAAAACAAAACTATTAGGAATTGTTCATTTCTAAGTGTAACTTGCTCTGCATATAAATCTGATATTTTACACTTCTCCTGGCCAGTACCTATCATCTGGAAAGAGACCGGGCATCTCTAAACTATACTTATAATATCCAAAAATAATTTTAATCTGTTCCTGGGATACAATACAGGAGCTGTTTAAAAGTTCATAGCAATACTTAAGAAGAATTCACAGCTGATTTCAGGTGATATTTCATTTTTTATGTCCCATTCAAAATGGCATTTTCAATACCTTTACCTCTAATATCTCACTGGGATGTTTGTTCCATTCTGGCTGAGAATGAAGGAATGCCGTTTACTAAATTGCCTCTGGAGTCTCCTAGTCTAGGACTGGCCAGGTCCATTTATGCTTGATTTGCGAGACTTTATAAGAGCAAAGTCAGTATAGCTGCCTGCTTCTTTCCTTTGTCCCTTTGAATATGTTAAGGATGATGCTTTCCATCCATCAGCTTGCCCCTCCTCCTTTGGAATTAGGATGAAATTGTTGTCTATCTCTATCTGCCTCCTTCCACCCCCAAGAAAAAGTAACGTCTGTGCTTTGGGCAGGGAGAGTGGATGTTTTCCTTACCCAGAGCAGCAATTATGTGTTCTGAAATTGTAGTTCTTTGGAAGAGTACAAGGAAATTACTCAGAATCAGTAAAACTTTTTAATTTACAATAAAAAATAAAGCTCACTAACTGGAAAGTGAACTGCTGTGTTCATGTGAATAAATAAGAGAATTGTTTTAAGCTATAAGTACAGCACTGGATTTTACAGTGACTATTATCTTACTCCTTTAATCATTTGGGGTGTGTGTATATAGAACAAATAATATATATATATATTTTTTCATACAGGCATCAGAATCTTCTGAAAAGAACTCTAGAGCTAATAAGCATCTTGGGCTACTGCTTACCTCTGCTGAAGGCACACTAGGTATACTATCGTTATTTTACATTAACATTGTAAAAGAGACTATCCGTTTGTGTTGTCCATATACGATTTTCTATTACCTGTTACGGCATCTATACATACTGGGAATGATAGAAGAAATAGATTGGATCCCTGAGGCTTTGTCTACACTTGCTTGGCTAGTGATATCACTCCATTGATGAAAGAAGTGTACTGGGAATGGTTGGGGTTTCAGTGCACAGAAGACAACATTGCAGCAGCATTTTGCTGCTAACCTCTTTTCTGGGATCCTGTTTACTTTGAGGGTAAAGTGCTGCAAGAGGAATCACTAACATCCTTCATGAAACACCCCAGATGATGTTTCTTGGTAGTTTCCTATCTAATTACTGACATGCTGTAACCCCGTATCATATTTGAAATTTGACAGTGCCCTATCACGTGTTAGGGTACATTTAGACTATGTTCTTTTTCTGAAAGGAGGTATGCAAATTTGATGCTAATTTGCATATCTTCTTCCAATCACTTTTTTGAAAGCAGTTTTTTCTAAAGTAAAAGCCGTTTAGATGGTGTTTTTGCGAAACCTCATTTTTTAAAGAAGGGTTCTTTCAAAAAAGGGGAGTTCTTTTGAAAAAAACCATAGTTCAGAAGAAGATATGCAAATTAGTGCCAAATTTGCATATCTCTTTTTGAAAAAAGAACTTAGTCTAGATGTACCGTTAGTGTGTCCGAGGCTGCTCTTTAGTCAAAATCATTCTCATATTGCTCTTCTCAGCTTTCTTAACCTCCTAGGCTCCCTTCCAGTCAAAATTCCCTCATTCTTGGAAGTGCAAGGTAGGGAAGCTACTGCTCTAGACTCTTTCCGCATTTCCTCATAGAGGTTTGAACCCACTACAAGTTTTGCAGGCTCTCTTTGGGTATTTTATTTCTACCCTTTTGCCTTCAGTTCTGCCTTTGTCTCTTCATCTGCCTCAGAGGTTCTGCTGCCTCTGAGTTTCATGAGTTAAAAAATAAGTGAGATAATGGGGCATCTCTTCTACATTTTGTCTTGGAGTTCAGAATTATGCTACTCCAGTTTTTTTAAAGGAATCTGAGTTGGGGGTAGAAAAAGGTGAATTTTTATTCTCATCCACTAGGGATGTCAAATTTAGTTTAATCGATTAGTTGATAAGCAAGGGAGCCACAGCGGGGTTAGCTCCCAGCTATGGGCACTAACCCTGCTGTGGCTGTGCCTTTTAAATGTATTAAGAGCCTGCCAGCTCATAATACTTTTAAAAGACTGGTACGCAGCATGGGAGATTCCTTCATGATCTGGGACAGCTGATTCCTGTCTTACACCAAGTTACCCCGCTGTGCACCAGACTTCTAAGGCTGTGTCTAGACTGCATCCCTTTTCTGTAAAAGGGATGCAAATTAGACACATCGCAATTGCAAATGAAGCGGGGATTTAAATCCCCTCCGCTTCATTTGCATAAACATGGCTGCCGCTTTTTTCCGGCTCGGAGCTTTGCCGGAAAAAAGCGCCAGTCTAGATGGGGATCTTTTGGAAAATAAAGCCTTTTCCGAAAGATCCCTTTATTACTCTTAAAATAAGGAATAAGGGATCTTTCGGAAAAGGCTTTATTTTCCGAAAGATCCGCGTCTAGACTGGCGCTTTTTTCCGGCAAAGCT